TAGCCAACAGCAGGACTAGAATTGTGAAGAGCAAAGCAGAGAACATCATCCCTGCCCAAAATCACTCTTGAAGCTGGCAGCACTAGAACACTCAAGGGCTTGAGTGTGTTCGAGTGTCTGGGGTTTGTTCTTCCGTGTGCATTTTGGGGTACGTGCAGTGGTATTGGGAGGGTGAAGCTCTCTGCCTTTGTGGAGGGGCTCAGGAGTCTCCAGGGACACCTCAAAGCTCGGTGTGTGCTCGGCAGGAGCTGCTGCCTTGTCAATCCCTTCCTACAAACCTTCTTTTCCAGCTCCTGGGGTTGTCCGTCGCCATGCTGAGCACCGTCACCCGCTACGGGCTCCACTTCACCCTCATCAGCAGCATCTCCCTGGAGAACAACTCCTACAGGGTCTTCCACCACGCAGGTACGTCGTGGTCCCAGCCCAGCAGGATCTCTGGTGAGCCCAGGAGCTGCAAAATCCCCTAAAGCCATCGAAGGGCACTGCAGAGGCACCCCAGGAGGAGGCAGGGGCTGGATTTTGGAGGGTGCAGTAGGATTAACTCAGTCCCACGAGCATTTTCTGTCTGTGTCAGCCCCTGAAGGGTGCTGTGGGAGCACAGGGTGCTTGGGTGCTGCTGCCTTCACTCCTGTCCCTCTCTTCTCCTTCTCCCCATCCTTCCTGGGTGCTGTGGGGAAAGCTCAGGGGAGCTCAGCCACGGGCAGCCCCGAGGCTGCAGAGGGGCTGGAAGGGCTCTGGGGGAGAGGGGCTGTTACAGGAGGTGAAGCAGAGCATGGAAAATTGAGGCTGGGGGGAGAAATGGATGGAAACACCAGGTTTGGGAGGAAACGTTGGGGTTCTCCCTGCACGAGGGTAGAAATAGAAACTGAGTTTTGGGTACAAAGCTGAAGAGATCACAGCCCAGATGCCAAAATTCTCTGCTCGCCTCTGCTGCGCTCGCATCTGCTGCTTCTCCTGGGCTGGAACATGCTCAGACCTTCTCTAGATCCTCACTCCCAATTGCAGCCTAACGAGGCAGGTGTAAAAACGATCTTCATCCAAAGCTAAGACCCAACCCTCCCCTTTTCCTACACGTTTGGCTCTCAGGGCAGCCTTGCAGCCTCCCCCTTCCCAGCCACCCCTCTCTAGAGATGCTGCCACTTGCTTTCCTTGCACCCTTTGCCTGCTTGAGGGTTGCAAAGCTCTGGTTGAGGGTTGCAAAGCTCTGGTTGAGGGTTGCAAAGCCCTGGCTGAGGGTTGCAAAGCCCTTCACAGTGTGGTGGCCCCTGAGCCTGCCCTGGGCTGTGACCTTGCCTTGGCCAGGAGGAAACCAGAGGGTGAGTGTTGCACCAGATTAGCAGCAGACAGAGCCCTGAGAGGAACCAGGGGACAGCTGCTGTGTGGCAGCACCCCCAGTTTGGGGGGATCCTTATCAGGCTGCTGAAATAATTGGCCGTTTGTGGTCTGTTGGGTGGACCAACACCCTTTTAGGGTGCTTCACTCAGCCTCCTGGGGTGCTTTGCTCTGCTGGAGCTGTGGGAACCACTCGGAGGTTTTCAGCCCTGCCAGATGAGGAAAGTATACACAGATCATAGGGTGATAGACTGGTTTGGGTGGGAAAGGACCTTTCAAGGTCATCTAGTCCAAGCCCCCTGCACTGAGCAGGGACAGCTTCAACTAGAGCAGGTTGCTCAGAGCCATATCTGACTTCATCTGGAATGGATCCAGGGATGGGGCATCGACCACCTCTCTGGGCAACATGTCCCAGGGGCTCACCACCCTCACCATAAAACATTTCTTCCTTCTCTCTAGTCTAAATCTCCCCTCTTTTAGTTTAAATCCACCACCCCTTGTCCTGTCATAACAGGCCCTGCTGCAAAGTCTGTCCCCAGCTTTCTGTTGGGCCCCTTGAAGTACTGAAAGGCCACCAGAAGGTCTCCCTGGAGCCTTCTCTTCTCCAGGCTGAACCACCCCAACTCAGCCTGTCCTCCCAGCAGAAGGGCTCCAGCCCTCAGATCATTTTTGTGGCCTCCCCTAGACCTGCTCTGACAGATCCATATCCCTCTTGCTGAGGGGCAATTGAATAAATGCTAAACCATTTCCACCTCTGCAACCGGGTCCTCTTCCCCCAGCTCCCCAAAAGGAACCTTTTGGCCCCTCTCTGTGCACAAGCACCAGGCCAGGCCTCCGTTAGCCCTCAAGTCTCAGAGTCTGACCACAGCTTTCGTGTTCAACTTCCTTCCAGCTTTCTACTGTGGGCTGTGCCTCAGCATGACCCTGATCCTTGCAGCCCTGCTGAGCTCTGCTGCCACGGTGCGGGAGTCGCCGCTCCTCGGAGCCACGGTGGGTACCAGGAGGCATCAGCTGGGGGGTTCCTGGGGCTGCCACCCTTCAAATGGGGGGCTGGAGGCTCTTTGGACTCGTGCCTGGCAACGTGCACGCCCGGGGAAGGATGTCCTGTTGCTCCCTCTGTGCTGCAAGGAGGTGTTTTGGACCCTGGAGATGTTCTGCAGCTGAGGAGAGCATCCTTCTGTGCCTCACTGCTTTTGGCAAGGTGCTGTGTGTGTGGCTTTCAGAGTGGGGTCAAAGGGAGGTGTTCATCTGCCCAAACCATTCATGGAATCACAGAGTGGTAGGAGTTGGAAGGGACCTTTGGAGATCATCCTGTCTAATCCAGCAGGTCACCCACAGCCTGGTGCCCAGGGGGGTTTGGGATCTCTCCAGAGAAGGAGACTCCACAGCCTCTCTGGGCCCTGCTCCAGGCTCAGCCACCCTCACAGCAAAGAAGTTTCTCCTCCTGTTCAGATGGAAATTGCAGTGATGACAATTCCCATCACACTTTTTCTCACCAAGCCCACACGTGCTTTGCATGGGGAAACGTGAGCAGTGGGATTCTGAGCAGGAATTCAAGCCCCACGTTGTTCCTCTGGCTTGGGAGAGCAAAGCTCCCTCTCCTCCTTCCCCCCCTTGCTCCAAACATCCACCACAGTGCTGGAGGTGGTGGCTACAAGGCACAGCAGCAGGCAGGGAGGCTTTGGGCTGGACCCTCAGCCTCCAAGGAGAAGGTGGAGGGGCACCACAAGCCCTGATCCCATGAGCACCTATAATCACATGTGTGACTCCCTTTTGCTGAAGGATGCTCTAACGTGGGCCTGCAGTTACAGCATCTAAACCAACAGATGGGTCTGTAGAGGCTGGTGGAGACTCTCCAGGCTGCCTGAAGACACAGCTCAACTTCTCTGTGATGTTTATTTGGTTGTCTTGCTCTCCGTGTGGTATGGTTTGGGATGTGCCACTAAAAATTACAGTCCTCTCCTGAAGAGGTCATTAAAGAACCTCCTCTGAGGGCTACCTGATGCTGCTCCCCCATCCTCTTGCTATGGGGGTGAGGACCAGCAGGTCCTTTCCTGCAGCCACTCATTGACTCCTCCAGCCAAGATCTGGCCACCAGAGAAGGCTCTGGCTGGCAGAACCCCCAAACTACCTATTTTGGCTTTGTGCCTACTGGTGTCTCCTGGTTGCTTTGCTTTGGCAGGAGAGTTTGGCTCCTCTGGGGGAGGTGCCTCTCCTAATTTTGGATCTCTGATGATATCAGTGCTGTGCAGACACGATATCATTGCCTTGTGGGAAGAGGTGGAAGGGTGTGAGATGCTTTCCCTGGGGCTGTGGCAATGAGGCATCCATCTGGTGGCCAGTTCTGGGCTCCTCCAGTTCAAGAGAGACAGGGAACTACCAGAGAGGGTCTGGTGGAGGCTACAAAGAGAGGAGTGGAGCATCTCTGTGCTGAGGAAAGGCTGAGAGCCCTGGGGCTGTTGAGAAGACTAACTTAAA